TAGCACTTACCGAGCGTTAGGTTCATCCCTCATCGCCAGTTCTGCTTACCAAAAATGGCCCACTTAGAGTCGTCTCATTGACCCCAATAGTTCAATTAAGTAACTACTGGATCTTGCCCATTTAAAGTTTGAGAATAGGTCGAGGAAGTTACTTCCCCGGAACCTCTAATCATTCGCTTTACCTGACAAAACTGATAAAGACTCTAGCTATCCTGAGGGAAACTTCGGAGGGAACCAGCTACTAGATGGTTCGATTAGTCTTTCGCCCCTATACCCAAGTCTGACGAACGATTTGCACGTCAGTATCGCTACGAGCCTCCACCAGAGTTTCCCCTGGCTTCACCCTGCTCAGGCATAGTTCACCATCTTTCGGGTCCTAACGGATATGCTCATACTCAAACCTTTCACCGAAGATCAAGGTCGGTTGTTGGTGACCCCAACATGGCCATACGGCCTCACTTTCATTACGCGTATAAGTTTGCCACTCACACACTCGCACATACGTTAGACTCCTTGGTCCGTGTTTCAAGACGGGCCGGAGGCAACCGTTGGAAGCCAGCATCGCGATTACTAAGTGCGAACAATCTCAAAGCCACATCCTGGCCACTCGACGAATCGAAAAGCGCAGGGTAATGACAGTTAGAAAGCTCGTTGACCAGCAAACGCACTTCCTCACTGACCGAGTAGTGAGTATCGCAAGGAAGCAACCAATTCACAGATAGCGAACCAATTAGCATCCAAGGATTATTTCCACTCAGCCAGTGATGCTGACGACTGAAAGTAGGAAACACCACTAACATCTGCCAAACAACTGCTCAACACGACCAGGTCTGTGAATGAGTAGCAGAAGACAGGAGCGAGCAGCAATCCTACAATCAGCATATGCAACGGCGGCATCCGCTTCCTTCTCAACGATTTCAGCACTATTTAACCCTCTTCTCAAAGTTCTTTTCACCTTTCCCTCACGGTACTTTTGTGCTATCGGTCTCGAGTATATATTTTGCTTTGGATGAAATTTACCACCCGTTTACGCTCCATCCCAAGGAACGCGACTCGTTAGAACGCAGACCGTA